AGGCTTAAGAAAGAATACGTAAAATCCTGTGAAACCTGCTTTGCTAAGAATGCCCTCAATTTTCTGATAAGTGTTCAAGCATGAAATGAGTTTATTTCCCAAAGTTTTATAGCCCTTTAGCTAACTGACCCTGACCCAGAATAAGCCCTCAGAGTTCTTCGTATGCTATCTATTGTTTGATCCTTACTGCCTGACAATGATTGATGAGCTTTACCTATATTCCTATGCAAAATGAACCCAATAAAAGCTCATTAACGAAAAGGCTCTTGGCTCTTCTCCTTTGAGAGATTGGCCACCTTTCCTCCCCATGCAGAGCCTCTCCACAGCGGAGCCTTAGGTTTTCACCAGGGTGGGGCAACTCACGTTGTTATAGAACAGACAAGGGGGGCCTGAGACAATATACTATTATTGAAAGAAGGCCCCGGGTCCGTTATGTCCGCCACCAGAGGAAAGACGTCTCTCAATGCCAGAGATTCGTGAAAAGGAAAGAAAATGTTTATTTAATGCTATACTAACTTAAAGTAGTGACTTAATGTCTTTATCAAAAATCCTAAAGTCCCTAAAAACACCCACAAACACGCAGTCCTTCCTTCCTTCCCCCTTTGCCCAGTCCAGAGCACCGTATCTCAGGAAAGGAAATAGAAGTCCACGGCCTAGGCAGTTCTCTGGTTCTTCCCAGTTAGTCCTCCATCTCGACTGGGAGACCTCCCTGGGTTCCCGGCACCCTCCGCTGAGTCGCCGGGATCTCTGCTAAAACCAGGTGGTGGTTCCCCTTCTAAAGCTGTGCATGGCTCTCCTTCTCAGGGCTGCGCATGGCTCTCCTCCTAAAGCAGCATGGTTCTCCTCCTCTCAATGGCCGAGGTCCTCTTAATTCTGCTAAAGCCGCATGGTTCTCTCCCATTGGCCGCCACATCTGGGTTTTAAATCCCCAAGGCCAATCTTCCTCTGCAGCCTCATTTCCGACTCCTCCCACACTCGGCTTCACCTGCCAGAACTCGTATCCTTCCAGGTTTACTGGGCTGCCATCATGAGTCTGGGCAGGTGTGGCCCCATGTCCTGGAGCCAGTCTTGTCAGAGCTCCCACGCAGGCGCTGTAGCTTGGGGGATCTGCCCCCAGTCATGTCTTGGTGGGGAAGTTACTTCCATTCCCCTGGCTCAGAAATGATCACAGCTATTTAACATATCTAAGCGACCAGCCAAAGGCTATAGATATGTTAAATGACCACACCAGAGGGTAGCTGCAAGGCTGTTGCTATGCAAAACAGCTCTCAATGGCCCTGCTCCATTTGTCCCTTCCCCCAACCCACACCGTGGGGGGCGGGGTGGAGACATCTTAAAATCTCCTGGACACCTTGAGTTCTGGACCCCATTTTAAATGCCCATTTGGGGTCCCCCCTCTAGGCTGCACCCTGTAACAAGGTCACTGTGCTGTGACTGTATGTCGGGGAGTGGTCTGAGAGGGAACAATGCTGCTTGCTTCGCTCTCTGCTGGTTTTCAGTCATTTCCCCTGCTACCCACAAGCAAATTGGGCCCTTCTGGTGCCAATTCTTGGGTGGGTGGGCTTGTGTACATTCTAGGACCCTGTGGGTCTCTCCAACGAACTCTCCTGTGAGGCTGGGAGTTTCTGCTGCCTCAACCCCCACAGGTTTTTTTCAGTCAGAGACTTTGAGGGTTTACTTCCCCACAATGGAACCCTGGGTCCCTTGGTCTGTCTTGCTCCCCAGTTGTTCATCCTGGTTTTTCTGCACTCAAATGTGGTACTGCCCTGGGCACCATCCACTGCCTTTTCCACCCTTCTCCACCTGGCTGCCCATCTATGCCCCTCCTACCGGTCTGGATGAATATTTCTTCTTTAACTCCTTGGTTGCTGGACTTCCATACAGTTTGATTTTCTCTCAGTTCTGGTTTTTTGTTTTTTAAATTTGTTGTTGTCCTTCTTTTGGTTGTGCAAGGAGGCACAGTGTGTCTAACTACACCTCCATCTTGGCCAGAAGTCTGAGTATGTTTTTACTTGCCCTGCTTGGTATTCTTTGTGTGTCCTTTATCCGTGGATCATATGTTCAGTTAGTTGCAGAAAATACTCAGCCACAATTTTGCAAAACTTGCCTCTCCTCCAGTCTCTATTCTCTACTTCTTAGGCTCTATTTAGACATACATTAGACTTTTTCATTCTTCCATCTTATCTTTTAATCTCTCATTAATATCTTCTATCTTCGTTTCTCTTATGCTACATTCTGAGTGATTTCTGCAGATTTTGTGCCAGTTCCCTAATTCTTTCTTTGGTTCCAATATGTTATTTAACTCATTCTCTTAAGAAACATTAACAATTATGATGTTTACTTTTAACAGTTTATTTGATTATTTTTCTAATATTCCTGGTCAGCTTTGGTTCATTTTTGTGAATCTGTATACTTTTCAAACATAGTTATTTTATATTCAAGTTAATATTTCCAATTTGAGAAATACTTGAAAGCCCGAACATATTGATGCTTTTTCTGCTAATTCTCACTTGAAGGGGTTCATTTGTCATATGGTCATGGGCTCATATGTTCTGGAGGCCTAAACTGAGGATACTTCTTCAAAGATCACTTGAGTTTGTTTCTTCTAGGATTCAGATGGTTCTGCTGGTGTAGGCCCCTTCCCAGGGTCCCTGGTTAATTTTTTGGTCTCTGGTTCAGCTCAGCCCCACGGTCACTGGTCCAGAGTGTAGTCTTCTTGCTGCTGTGTTCAAGTTGAATTTGCTTTTGAACAAGCTTTGCCTTTCACATTTGTTTACTGCACATGCTGGAGTACCAGTTACCTTTTAGGAGGAGTTGGGAGTGGTCAGAGATTTTCTGTTCTTCCTGTTGTAACAATGTGATAAAAGTTATGCTTTACACCTGGTCCAGTTGTTGCAAAGCAGGAAGACTTCACAGTGTCTAGTAGGCATGCTGTCCTCTTTTTGTTTTCCTACTCATTTCTTGTTTTTTTAAACCTACCTTTTCTCACTCTGAAATATTTTTTGAGCTCTCCTACTGCTTCTCTGAAATTTTTTTCACTCTCACTTCCATTTTTCTCTTCCATCTTTAGAAGAGGGAATTTTCCAGAATTCCAGTCTCTTTCTTCTTAGTTTACCTCATCCAAACCATGACGTTATTCACAATATTGCGATATGTTGGTATTCCCAGCTCTGACATAACCCTAAGTTACATATCTATATTTCACAGTGCTTTCTTGTGGCCCCCAGTGGGTTTTGCTCAAACTCAAAATTTTCAAAACTGGGTCTACCCTCTCTCCTCAAATCTGCTCTTCTTCAAATATTTTCCAACTTAGTTGTGGATACCATTCATTTAAGCCATATGGTCCTATCAATTTTAAATCCTAAATATCCCTTGAAACCTGTCCCTCTCTGTCCTACTTCCATCATTGCTGCTATAGTTGGATTCTCATTCCTTCATGATAAATTACAGTAGCCTCTTTTTCTTTCTCTTGGCTTCAAACTCACTGCTCAAATCCACCAATTCCCTTCTATTCTTGTGATCTTTCTAAAATGTGAATGTGAACATGTCACTTCTCTGTAGAAAATTCTTCAGTGGTCCACTTTTGCAGCATGGTATGGATTAGGCTTCATAATGGTACATGTAAGACCTTCATGATCTAACACAGGCTTTTTACTTTGCCTGCATATTTCACTTTAAGCTATGAGAGGGCCATGAGCATGTCTGTCTTGTTACCTTGGCATTATTTTCAGTGCCAAGCCCAGAGCCTGACATCTAATTTATAATTACTAAGTGGATACATCACTACCTTGTGTATCATGTTTCTGATTTATATACGCTTTTTGCTAGCTAGTCTGAGGTGTTATTTATTTATTTATTTATTTGCAGTAACATGTGTACCTTCCTCTTGCAACTCTAGGCTAGTTAATATTTGTTCATTTATTCTCACATTCATTCATTTTTCTTGTAATTATTGGGTTGGCCAAAGAGCTTGTTTGTTTTTTCCCCATAAGGTGGCTCTAGTAGCACTTAGTTGTCTTTAACTTCATTAGAAATAATTTTGTTAGATTGTATTGTGACAGCTGTCATATCAGCACACATTTAAAAAAACATCAAAATTGGTGAATTTTTGTGCAGCTATTTTAATGTTGAAGATGGAAGAAAATATGAACATTTTGGCATATTTTGCTTTATTATTTCAAGAAAGGTAAAAATGCAACTGAAACACACAAAAAGAGATGTGTGGTGTATAGAGAAGGTGCTGTGACTGATCTAATGTGTCAAAAGTAGTTTGCGAAGTTTCATGCTGGAGATTTCTCACTGGATGATGCTCTGTGCTCAGGTAGACCAAAAAAAGACATTGAGAACCAAATAAAGACATTAATTGAGAACAATCAATGTTATACCACGTCAGAGATAGCCGACATAAAATATCCAAATCAATAAAGTTATTGGTGAAAATAAAAAATGTCTTTTACAGAAAAAACCTAAATGAACTTTTTGGCCAACGCAATACCACCAGCTAACACTGTGACTGCTACAGAGTAAGCGCTCTGAGTCAATAAATGAAAACAAATTTAGAAGTGTGGCCTAAGAGATAACAAGAATTGACCAATATAAGGAACTGCAACAGAAGAGTAGTTTTTCTCCAGGTGGTATATGCATAACAACAGAAGCACAAGGCAAGCATAATGCCTCTCTCTTCCCCTTCCCTAGCCTGGAAACCAGATTTAGTGAGTCAAGCAAGACTTGGTAGAAAGAATTGGAGCAAAACCCAACAAAATAAACAGCAAACCAACCAACCGAATAGGCGCAACAGGTGCCCAGGTGTTCCAAGAAGCCAGGTCCCTCAAGGAGGCCAGGGGGCAGGATGGGGCGGGGCCTGCCCGGCTAGACCACGCCCCTCTGGGGGCGAGTGTAAATTAGCGGGCTGCGCATTCCCGCTGTTTCCTAGGAGATGAAACACACAGGGCGCCGGAGCTTCACACGGAGCATTTGAGGTAAGCGGCCGGCGCGGGCAGGTAATCCCAAACCGGCTGCGAAGCCTCCACTCTCCCACCTACCCAGCCCGAGCTCGAGCGAGGCTGACTCAGCATGTCCCCTCGACGCCCAGTCCCACCAGAGTCAACTTCCGAAGAGAGAAGGGGCCCGTACTCTGGTAGAGGAGGAACTGGGGGGAGGAGACCCGGGGAAGGGCGGTGCGGCGGGAGGGGTCGGCCGCCGCTGCTCGGCCACACTCCCTCGACCACTCTCCGGCGCTCTCAGACGTTAGGGGTTGGACTGGTTCGAGGTGACGGTGGAACGTCCTTAATCCGAGGGTCTGTGCCCCCAAACCTCTACCCTAGGGTCGCGCCACTCTTCCGTCCCCGCGGCTCCCTCTGCTGCCTGTGCTGGAGCAGAAACTACTTTTAGGAGTGAGGGGAGGGCGGGCTCGGGTCTGGGGAAGCAGCGTAAGGAGTTCGGAACTGCTATAAAGTGAGAATGGAGGGAGAAGTCTTTTAAAGGACCCTCTTTGCGCGAAAAGGATAAGAGTACGGGTGTAAAGAAAACTTTCTTTACTGCAAATAAGTCGGGTTGGAAAGTGAGGGTACCAGTAAAACTGGTTTTTAGTGGTTTGTAATCTCATTTATAAAAGGAAAGAGATTTATGTAATTGTGTTTAGATAATTCTTTTAAATGAGCAGACATTTGTTCTAATGATAACGGAATCATCATGAAAGTCAAAGTTATCGGACTAATTTTAATCAGACAACAACCCGTTGAGTCAAAATAGTCGTGGGGACAGGTACTTTTCAGCTCTTTGGCCTGCCTTTGTCTCTGTCACCCCTCAGTTTGCCGCTGCGTGATGGGGAAAAGGAGGTACGTCTTTTCTTCGAAGGCGACCACTTACTGCCTGCAAAAGGCTGGTCTTGGGCAAGGATGTTAGATCTCTGGTGGGGTTTTTGTTTTTAGTTTTAAAATTATTTGAGACTATTAGCACAGAGCACCAGTGCAATTATATTTTAACACGGAGTCTTTGTTTTTCCATTGTGAAAGCTTCCCTTTTAATTTTTGTAAACATGATTTACTTTGAAATCTTCTGTTTTGCTTTTTAAACAACTTAGTGATTTTTAAAACGTTACTTTTTAAAAAATAATATCATACAGTAGGTTCTACAAATACAAGTTGAAGACATCCAATAGTGTCTTTTCAGTGGCAAACACAAATTTTGCCCTCCCTTTGCCCTCTATGTTAATCTTCTTTCATCCTATCTAAATCCCTCTTAACTGGCAGAAGCTGTTGAGAATAAAGCTAAACTTTACGGTAATTGTACACTTACATGAGCAGTAATTGTGCATTTAGATAAAAATAAAACAAGCGGGAGAGAAATTTGATGGGTATTTAATGTAGGTCAATAGTTAAGCCTCTAAATAAATGTCTTTTTTTAAATCAGAATATAAGGTTTGTTTAACCCATAGAAAAGTAAATAATTGTAGCTTGATTGTAGGAAATTCCAAGTATCTGACAGTTCTGTTAAGCTGAAGATCATAGTTATATTACCTGTACTTGTGTTTTGCCTTGTTACATGTATATATGGAAATAAATGTATAGAAATATTCATGTACGTAAGAAATCATGTTAATACCTGTCTGTTTTGCAGAATTAGCTTTCCGTAGGTTAACAGAAAAGAAGCTATGTAACTTGTAGAGAAATACTGTGTTTGAACTGGGAACCCATAGGTAGTCTATGTTCCTTAAGTTACATATACTGCTTTTGATTAGTAACCAGTTTAGGACCTTTCCATGCTACATTGATAAAAGTATTAATAGTTGTTTGTGTGAGTAGGCACATGGGAATAATGATTTTTTAGAACCCTTTATATTTATGCGTCTTCACATTAGGCCATGGTAAGGGGACAGCTGAAATGATTAGCATTTCAGCCTGGAGAGCTATTTATTTTTTAATTAATATGACTCAAAAGAGGCTTTCCAAAGCTTTTGTTTGGGACCATGGTATGTAAATTTGTTTTACTAAAAGATCGGGTAGGGTCATATTCACAGTTTTCACTACTCAACCCCTCAAATGAAAGAAACTGGGAAATAACCACGTTTGTTGTTTATTCTTCCTTGAATATAAATACCCTGCCCTGTAGACACCCTCACTTGAAACAAACCTTGTATTTCCAGTGTATATTTGAAAGTCCGTTGGTTAGGCTTGGAATGAAGTTCCAGAAGCCACTCTAAAACTGGGTTTTGAGGCCAAATGCAGATAGGTATTAAGGACTGAATGATCTGTTGTGCTAATAGTGCTTGTGATAGTGGTGGTTCATTGTCTTACTAGTGAATGAGAAAGGTAATTAATTCCACTTTTACAGTCTAAGTCACTACAAAGTAAAATTTGGACTACTGTTCCCCCTTTAAATAATTGCTGTTTCCTTCTCAAGCAATGTGTCCTTTTGCAGAATTGCATACATTTACTTTCTATCTCTTAGACCTTCAGTTAGGTATTAACATGAAAGTAATTGTTGCATATGCAACACATTTGCAAAGGAAAGCAATGCTGTTATCCAATTCGATGTCTTAATTAAATAATTTTTGGGGTGAGGTGAAAAATAAAATTCTCATGAAGGGAGCTCCAGGTAGCCTCCCTTCTCCCTTACTCACAATTTCTTTCCCCTCACTGTTTCTGGCCTGTTGTTTTTACAAGGTCCTTCAGGAATAGGATGAGCCAGGTGTAGCCCCAGGATTTTATTAATTAGGAAAAACCATTTCCCTATTTGTAGGATCTTGGTGTTCCAATTTGGAGGATCTTGGTATTTTAGGGTAAAGCGGTTGAGTTAGGAATCTTAAGGTGGGAAGGGGGCAGCTTTTGTTGTAGGGCAGATTCTGAATGGTTTGAGAGAAAAGAGGGGTGGTTTATTACAATCAGCTATATCAGTGGTGTAAAAGCCAATAAGAATGGGTCGTTTTGAAATTAGGGACTACACTGAAAGAACACAGCTTCAGGCTAATGCAAGTATCAGACTGACTCCATCTTTGATTCTCTGATTGATCATTGATAGGTTATTTAACCCTTCTGTATTTTTATTTTATAATTTTACTGGTATGATGGACATCATAGCCTTTTGGACAGTTATATTCTCTGTATGGTTATTTATGTAGTAAACCTATAGAGAGCACCATTTCCTTAAAAGAGATAGATATATGTCATCTTAAATAGAGTAGCTAGAAAAGAATGTTAAGTAATGTAATATGTTGATTGTAAATTGCAAAATACTGATTTCATAAAATCCTAAATGATCAGAAGAAATACATTTCAGCCCATAGTTTAATCATAGCATGTAGTACAAAACAACCCAAAAGATTTTTAAAATTGTATTTTCTTATACATCTAAAGTAAAAATTAATAAAAGCAAATAAATGTTTTGGTCAAGTACCCTGCTGAGGGATGTTGCCTTTCTCCATGTTAATACATTAATATTTAGAATCTGTGTTTATGTATGATGTAAAGACCACTTGCAAAAAACTGCATGAATAGGGGAACCATTTGCTGCCATTTGATAAACCATTTGCTCAGATGCAAGTTAAGAGAAATGAGGAACCCCTAAATAGAACTGGAAGCTGCTATCATCATCTCTTTTTCAAGATCTTGGCCACAGAGTTAGCATAGCCTGAATTATTTCCCATGTAGCTTTGAAAGGGTTCTTATCTGTATGAAATAAAAACACTCCCTGTTATTGAAAAGCCCCACAGGGTTTTTCTGAAGTTTCCTGTGGACAAATATATTCCTGAATATAAGAAACAACTTAGTTTTACTGTGCTTCTCTACACTTGTTTGTTCTTTCTCCGGAAAGCCTGTTGTTGGAAGTTCAGGTACATTGACAACTACATCACATCCCTGTCTGTCCTAATTTATGCATATAATACAGAAGCAATTTCTGTGATTTAATTTGATTTTGTAGAAATGAAACAGTGCTGCAATGAAAGGAAAATAATCTTTGAATGCAGTATCAAGTTATAAAAGGCATTTTAAAACACACTATTTATTTTAATGATGCCAGACATCCTGCAATTAAGCATAATGCCTTGTAACAGAATTAATAGAGATTTTTTTTAAAGATTTTATTTATTTATTTTTAGAGAGGGAAGGGGAAGAGAGAGAGAGAGAAACATCAATGTGTGGTTGCTGGGGGTCATGGCCTGCAACCCAGGCATGTACCCTGACTGGGAATCGAACCTGCGACACTTTGGTTCGCAGCCCATGCTCAATCCACTGAGCTACGCCAGCCAGGGCAGAATTAATAGAGATTTTTAAAAGCAAAGTAAGAATGAAAAGTAAGTATGACCTGAGAACCAGTTTCTTAAATGTGGAACTAAGAACAATGGGAAGAAACAAATGTAATGAAGTAGACACTAAGCCTAGAGTTTTTTCTGTAATCATAATAATAAAATCAGAACCTATTGAAACGTGTACCCTTCAAATTATATCCATAATTGTTTATTTGTATTTTGAAATCCACAGCTCTCTGAAAGGTGAAATTTTAAAAATTGTGCAAACACATTTGCAACAAGATATGACCTGAATGATGGGAGGACATTCATAGTCTTTATTTATTTTGCTTAGTATACTTTTCATATATTTTTCTGTAGGTATATTAAGAGGCTAATGCAAAGCATTGCATTACATACAGTAAATGCACCACATTACTCTTCTAAAACATGAGAATTCCTGGATTCCAAAGATATCTTGCCTAGGAGTTTCACACAGTGGATTATGGTCCAAATTAAATATGATGGAGAAATTGATTCAAAGGATTGATATAGTATAGATGTCTGATTTCCCAAGGTCTGATTTGGAATAATATAGATTATATTAAAAAAAAGAAATCATACACATCACTAGGCTGATATTTATTGAACATTCCAGAGATAAATAGTACAGTACCAAATGTATATTATCAGTCTGTTAAATGTAAACTTCATTCCAAAAAGCATAAGTGATTTACTGACAAATGTTTAACACATTAGTATTTATATTATTCGTAATTTTGTCTGTGCTATATATTACCAATAAATTTCTTGAAGAGATTCTTTAATGAAAGTTTTTTTTTTGTTATTATTTTTTATAGGGTATTTATAAGAATGGATGCACTGTTTCCTTGCCAGATTCCTTATTGCTGTAACTCATGAACCTGCATAGTCTTGGGAATGAACCTATGTTCAATGATGACAAACCTGTCACCAGTATAGCAACAACAGTCTAACAGCAAAAACAAAAATTAAAAAGCATTTAAATTTATATCCCACAAAGAAGCCATTGTAATCAACAACTGCTGCATTATTTTTCCAAGATGAACCGGTATACAACCATGCGACAGCTAGGAGACGGCACCTATGGGAGTGTGCTAATGGGCAAGAGTAATGAATCTGGGGAACTGGTGGCCATCAAAAGGTACTGTATACAACACTGCAAAGTTTACCATTAGTGCTGATCTTTCTTTTCCTTTGTTTGCTTGAGAATACATGCAAACAGTAATGCTTTTGTGTCTTACTGTAGATCATAGACTTGGGCACATCTAGTATTTAATGAGTGCTAGGCAGTTTATAATAACTTTTTCTTATGCAGTAGTTTCTACTTTATAGCTAAGGAATTTGAGGCACAGAGAGGTCATTAAGTCATTCATCCAAGGTCATATAATAAGGGAGCTGCTGAGTGAGGGTTTAAATCTACTGCTACCTTCTTGGCTACCATGGTGTGTTGCTAATTCTTTATGCTGCCTTTCCTTTACTTATTTCCTTACCCCGTCCTGTGTTTTACACTCTTGTACAGGCTCAGAATAATTCCTGTAGGAATTAGTTTAATAAATATGGATAACTCTAAGCTTTCTGAGAATCTTCTAGAATATCTCAATAGCAAATTATAATGCTAAATGAAAGCAGTAGGACATACAGGATTCTGATTTTTCATAATCCAGCTTTGTAATTTCTACACCTGAAGAAATATTTTTAGAATATAAGTCCTGTTTTTCTTGTCTCTCATTTTGTGTGGTGACTAAAAATACATTCATATAAATAATACAATCTCTTTCTGTGGCATATGTATTAGAATTACTTTATTACCCTAGATTCACTTTTTATGTATTCATCTTTAATGGTAACCAACATTAGCAGGGAAGAGAGGCAGTAAAAACAAAACTCAAGAAAGTTATTTCTAAAATTTGGTTACTTCTGAATTATTGCTGATTTAAATAAATCACTTGATTTTATGGGCCTCTTGTTTAAATCTAAGGTAATGATATAAAAGTTGTCAGAGAAAACATTTTACTAAATTTGCTACCAAAATTTGTAATTTTCTTCTATTCCACCTAATTATAGTATTTCATATTTATCTTTTAAGTTTTAGAAAGAGGGCCTTTTGGAAGGAGCCTTTGTAGAAAGGCCCAGTAAAACTAATTAGAGAAATGTAAGAATTCATCCAGAAAGGAAGATTAATGGTAATTCTTTCACTTTTGTATTAAAGCAGAATTTCAATTATGACATAGTCATGAACTTATACCAAATAGCCTTGAGATATGTGGAAGGGAGGTGATTTGCTTTTCAGGAGGAGGGAAATGAGAGAATCATAACTTGCCCAAGGTGAACTAATAACAGTGAGAAAGCCAGTGGTTTAATTTGTGCTTTCAAATCTTCAGTCCCCATACACTAAACTTAACTGTTTTTAACTTCAGGATGAAGAGAAAGTTCTATTCTTGGGATGAATGCATGAACTTGAGAGAAGTTAAGGTAAAAATCCTAGAGATGAAAAGAATTGGAGAAAGCCTTAGCTCTACCTCATACCTATCTCATTTCTGAGGAAAGTAGCTAAGGAGATTATTCTATAGTTAAAGACTTAGAATTAAAGATTTGGAATTAATTTTAGGAGATTAATCTTTTCTCTGTAGGAAGCAATACAAAGATCATTATATTTCCTAACATTTTCCTTTATCTTCTAATTTCTCATGTCTCATCAGAATCTCAGTGAAGAACAGAAAATAACTATGCCTTTTGTATCTGTAAATACATTCTCACTTTTAAGAGTATTTTCATTTATACTACAAAGAAAAGACAAGTTTTTAAATTACTATATGCCATTTCTTTATATTTTATGCTGTACGATTTGAATAAAATTTTGGAGACTTTGGCATGGTTAAGTCAGAAAAAAGTTAGACCTAGTTAATATACTTAGAAAAAAATGTTTAGTAGGTATTATTGACTTGGTTTATTTTTGCACTTATATTAATTACTTAAAACAATTCACTGCTTACTTCAAATAGGCATTCTAAAATGTTTTTAGAAATGTGAATTTTATAGATATTAAAATTCATTAATGAATTCAGAAGAAATGGGATATTAAGATAATTATCATACCTACTAGCATTGGTGAGATTTTGCCAGCTTCTGTAATTCTGTTGTAAGAATTTTAATGCTTATTTGCTGTGTTTCAGTCTCTGAAGAAACTTAATCATGCCAATGTGATTAAACTAAAAGAAGTTATCAGAGAAAATGACCATCTTTATTTTATATTTGAATATATGAAAGAAAACCTCTATCAATTAATGAAAGACAGGTATGTCTGCATTTTATGAAAATTGTACTTTTCTCCTATTATCTCCTCCATGAGTTCCTTGGGTCCCTTCAGTATGACACATTTTACAATATACAGATTGTAAGAGGGGGATTTAAGTTCATTAGTTTTTATCTTCATGAAAGGAAGTATCTAACCTTGAAGAACTGGCTACAACATAGCTTTTTTCCTTCTGCAATCTCTTAAAAATCAAAATAAATATATGATGTAAACACACATACCATCTACCTGTACTTTTGAAGCAAAATTTATTTATAATTTAATGTTCAGTAATAAAGCTGGTCTTGGGCAAAATTGAGAAAATTATGTTCATTTCTGTCCTGAGTGTCTTGTGGAAGGTTAATGAAAGAATGCAGGAAGAAATGAAGTAGCTTCCTAAAAAGGAGCTAATAAACTCAGTAGAATGCTTAAGTGAATGATAGAACTTAATGTTACCCATCCTAAGGAAATTCTTATTTTAATTTTTAAACCTGTGAACAGAACCTAACGAGGAAGAGCTTCAGTCATTTGTCGTGAGTTTGGGGAGGATAATATTTAGGAGGTAGATGCCAGTCACATCTGGGAGGTTAATGTCCAAAATTTTGTCTGCTTTTAAAGCGAGAGTTGAACAAAATATCTTCAAATACTTTGGAAACAAATTTCCCAGTAGACTGATGTTGACTTCTCTCTGCATTTCTTTCACACACACACATACTCACCCAAGGCCTCAGCATGGTGAGTGAATTTTTCTTTAATCATATTTCTTCTTCTTTCAGGCTGGGATGTTCCAGGCTGATATCATAACATCAATAGCAATTAAAGTAAAAGTAAAAGGTTTCTACCTCCCAAATCAGTATTTATTTTCTAGAGTCCTTTCTAGCCCTTCTATACAGGCATGCATACTTTTTGCATGGTTATATTTTAAGTATCACACATTATTTTATTTCATTCATTCACTTATAGGCTTATTTTAATGCTGATATATAATTTTCATAGCTACCATAGGATGTTCTGTTAAATGATTATACTAAGCTTCACTTAGCTCTGAATTATTTTAAAAGAAGTAACTATCAGTCGGAGACTGGGTTGGTAATTATAATGCATAACATTGATAGAATTATTTTGTAGCCATTAAAAGTGATAATTACAAAGATTATGGAAATGCTTATAAGTAGATAAAAAACAGAAAGCAAAATTGTATTTATGTAACATTGATACCTAATACAAGAGTTATGCATGTGCATGGTTTAGTATTAGATTAGAATACTGAAAAACCAAAATAGTTTCTTAGGTGGTGAGATTATGGGTAATTTTAATTTTGGTCTTCTAATAATAATTTATGCTGTTTAAAATATATGAAATGATAAACGTGCATGATATATTGAAATGTAGTTGTTGAAGAAGAAATTAAATACATAGAAATATATGAAGTATTATACTGTCATCTGATTAAAAATATATGTCTATCCGTGGAAGTGGTTAATGTAATAGAAAATGAACACTAAAAAGAATCAACTTTGGAAATTAAGTATTCAATTCTGGATTTTTAAATGAAATGTAAATAAAAGTGATATTATTTAGAAAATTATTCAATATCAAAGGTATAAATTTAACCATTAACAAGTGTATATGGTAAAGGGCTGTTTGGGTTAAGTGGTAATTTTACACTTTGTTTTTGGTACTTAACTTCCTGAAACATTGTTTTTGAGGATCTAGAAAAACTCAGAAGCCTTTTTTATTCAAATAAACTTTTCTATTTCAATTGGAAACCAATATACATTAACCTTTGTTCTGATACTATAAATTTCAGCATATAGCATTCTTTTTACAAATTTAAAATTGTTGGCTAGGATAAAAATATTTTGTTTCTTTTAAAATTTATAGTTTGTGAAAGTATGTTTTTTTATTTAATAATTTTTTGCTGTATATCTTGACCATTTAGTTCCCTCATACCCCCCCACCCTGCAGTTACCACACTGTTGTCCATGTCCACGGGTCTTTTTTCCTTTTTGCTCAATCCCTCTACTCCCTACCCATCCATCCCCTTCACTGTCATCCTGCTATCTATGAGGGTGATAGATAGTCTAGGCTGTTCATTAGATTCCACATGTAAGTGAAATCATATGGTATTTGTCTTTGCCAGGCTTATTTCACTTAGCATAATATTCTCCAGGTTCATCCATACTGTTGTAAAGGGTAAAACTTTATTTTTTTACAGCTGAGGAGTATTCCATTGTGTAATGGAATGGACTCTTAGGGCAACTTCCATATCTTGGTGATTGTAAATAACGCTGCAACGAACACAGGGGTCCTTATGTTCTTTTGAATTAACATTTTGGATTCTTTCAGATATATTCACAGAAGTAGGATCTCTGGGTCAAAAGGCAGATCTGCTTTTAATTTTTTGAGATATTGCCATATTCCTTTCTGCAGTGGTTGTACCAATCAGGATTCCCACCAACAGTGCAAAAAGTTTCTCCTTTCTCTACAGCCTTGCCAGCACCTGTTGCTTTGTTGATTTATTGATGATAGCCATTCTGACAGGTGTAAGAATGTATCTGTGATTTTTATTTGTTTATCTAATGATTAGTGACATTGAACATCTTTTCCTATGTCTATTAGCCATCTGTATGTCCTCTTTGGAGAAGTGTCTATTCAGATCCTTTGCCCATTTTTTAATCGAGTTGTTTGGGAGTTTTTTTGGTGTTGAGTTTGTAAGTTTTTTATAAATTTTGGATATTAACCCCTTATCAGATGTATTGGTGAATATGTTCTCCCATTCTGTGAGTTGTTTTTTTTTATTTTATTGATAACTTCCTTTGCCGTGCAAAAACTTTTCAGTTTGATGTAGTCCCATTTGTTTATTTTTGTTTCCCTTGCCTGGGGAGATATATAAGATAAAATATTGCTACAAGCTATGTCCGAGATTTTGCTGCCTATGTTTCTCTACAATTTTTATTATTTCAGTTCTAACATGTAATTCTTTATTCATTTTAAAATTATTCTTGTGTTTGGTGTGAGAAGGTGGTTTAGTTTCATTTTTATGCACTTATCTGTTATTGAATCAACTATATTTAGCCCATTGTATGTGCTTGCTTCTTCTGTCGAATAGTAATTGACTATAAAGGCATGGGATTATTTATGAGCTCTCTGTTCTGTTCCATTGATATATGTGTCTGTTTTTATGCCATTACCATGCTATTTTGATTATTGTGGCATTATAGTATAGTTTGTTAATTAGGTAGCATGATTCCTCCAATTTTCTTCTTTATTCTCAGGATCACTGTGGCTATGCAGGACCTTTTGTGGTTTCATATACATTTTTTAAAAATGTGTTCTATTTCTGTGAAATACATCATTAAAATCTTGATAGGGATTGTATTGAATCTATAGATTGCTTTGGGTAGTATGGACATTTTAATGATGTTTATTCTTCCTATCTACGAACGTGGTATATGCTTCCACTTAGTTGTATCTTCTTCAGTTTCTTTCTTCGGTGTCATAATTTTCCGAGTACAGGTCTTTTATATCTTTGGTTAGATTTATTCCTAGGTATTTTATTCTTTTTGAATCAATTGTGAATGGGATTATTTTCTTAATATCCCTTTCTGTTAGTTCATTACTGGCATATAAAAATACAATTTATTTCTGAATATTAGTTTTGTATTCTGCTACATTATTCAATTCATTTATAAGTCATACTAGTTTCTTGGTGGAATCTTTAGGATTCTATATGTACAGGATCATGTCATCTGCAAATAAAGACAGTTTTACTTCTTCCTTTCCAATTGGGATGCCCTTTATTTCTTCTTTTTTGTCTGATTGCTGTGGCTAGGACTTCCAGTACTATGTTGAATAAGAGAGGTGAAGGTGCACATCCTTATCTTGTTCCCGATCTTAAGGAGAATACTTGTAGTTTTTGCCTGTTGAATATGATGCTAGCAGTGGGTTTGTCATTTATGGCCTTTATTATGTTGACGGATGTTCCCTCTATTCCCACTTTGCTGAGAGTTTTTTATCATAAATTGGTGCTGGATTTTATCAAAAGTTTTTTCTGCCTCTATTGGTATGATCATGTGGTTTTTATCCTTCATTTCGTTTATGTATGTAGTGAATCACATTTATTGATTTACGATTGTTATACCAACCTTGCATTTCTGGAATAAATCCCACTTGATCATGGTGTATGATCTTTTTGATGCATTGCTGTATTTGGTTTACTTATATTTTGTTGAGGATTTTAACATCTATCTTCATTAGGAATATTGGCCTATAATTTTCTTTTTTTGTAGTGTCTTTATCTGGTTTTGGCATTATGATAATGCTGACCTCATAAAATGAGCTTTGGAGCCTCCCTCCTCCTGAATTTTTTGAAATAGATTGAGAAGAATAGGTGTTTGTTCTTCCAGGAATGTTTGGTACAATTCACTTGTGAAGCCATCCAGTCCAGGGCTTTTGTTCATTGGGAGTTTTTTGATTACTGCTTCAATTTCACTAGGTGTAGTCTGTCTAGTTTTGGAAGAATGTATGTTACTAGGAATTTATCCATTTCATCCAGGTTGTCCAGTTTGTTGACATATATAATTGTTCATAATATTTCTACAATCTTTGTATTTCTTGGGTGTTATTTCCCCTCTTTGATTTCCTATTTTATTTATTTGGTTTCTCTCTCTCTTTTTTCTTGATGTTCTGGTTAAAGGTTTGTCAATCTTGTTTATCTTTTCTAAGAACCAGCTCTTGGATTCATTGATGTTTTGTATCATTTTTGAGATTTTTATTTATTTCTACTCTGATCTTTATTATTTCCTTCTACTCACTTTGGGCTTTTTTGTTGTTCTTTTTCAAGTTCCTTTAAATGTGAAGTTAAATTGTTTATTTGAGCTTTTTCTTGTTTTTTGAGATAGGCACATAATGCTATGAATTTCTCACTTAGGATTCCTTTCCCTGTGTCCCACAGATTTTGGATAGTTGTGTTCTCATTTTTATATGTTTCAAGGTATCTTTTGATTTCTTCCTTGACCAATTCATTGTTCAATAATGTGTTATTTAGCTTCCATGTCTTTGTGTTTTTTAGTGTCCCTCTTTTGATTGATTTCTGCTTTCATAGCATTGTGGTCAGATAAGATGCTTGATATGATTTCAAGCTTGCTAAATTTATTGAGACTTCTTTGTGTACTAACATGTAGTGTATCCTAGAAAATATTCCATGTGTACTTGAAAAGTATGTATATTCTGCTGCTTTGGGGTGAAATGCTATGAAGATATCAATTAAATCCATTTGATCTACCATGTTCTTTGTGGCTGCTGTCTCCTTTTGATTTTTTGTCTGGAAGATCTATCCATTGAAATCAATGGGGTGTTAAAATCACCGACTGTGACTGTATTTCTGTTGATCTCTCCCTTTATGTACGTCAAGAATTGTTTCACATAATTAGGTGCTCCTATGTTGGGTGCATAATTGTTTACTAGGATTATATTCTCTTGTTGGATTGTTCCCTTTATCATTATGTAGTATCCTTGTTTGTCTCTTACTATAGCATTGGTTTTAAAGCCTCTTTTGTTGGATTTAAATATTGCTACCTCAGCTCCTTTTTTCCTTTCCATTAGTATGAAATACCATTTTCCATTCCTTTACTTTTAGTCTGTGTGTATCTTTTCATCTGAGATGAGTCTCTTGGAGGCAGCATATATATGGGTCTTGTTTTCTTATCCATTCAGGTATGCTATGACTTTGGTTGGGGCATTTAAGCCATTTACATTTAAGGTGGTTATTGATAAATACATATTTAGTGCCATTTTATTGTTAGACTACTTTTTTCTGTTATGTTTCTTCTTCTTTTTCTTCTTCTTAAAGCAAGCCCTTTAACATTTGTTGCAGTATTGGTTTGGTGTTAACAAACTCTTGCTTTTTCTTATCTGGAAAGCTCCTTATTTCTCCCTCAGTTTTAAATGATGGCTTTGCTGGGTAAAGTAGCTTTGATTACAGGTCCTTGCTTTTCATCACCTTGAATAGTTCAAGCCAGTCCCTTTAGGTGAAATGTTTTTGTTGAGAAATCAGATGACTGTAATTGGTGCTCCCTTGTAGGTAACTACCTGCTCTGCTCTTGCAGCTTTTAGGATTCTCTCCTTTGTTTAAACCATGTCGTTTTAATTGTGATGTGTCTCAGTGTATGCCTCTTCGGGTCCAACTTTTTCAGAATTCTCTGAGTTTCATGGACTTACATGTTTTTTCTTCTTCACCAGATTAGGGAAGTTTTTGGTCATTATTTCTTCTAATACCTTCTTGGTACTTTGCTTGCTCTCTTTTTCTTCTGGTATTTCTATGATATGGATGTTGTTATACTTCATGTTGTCTAAAATGTTTCTTAAGCTCTCCTTATTTTTGCTGCTCTGCCTGAGTGTTTTATTCTACCTTGTTTCCAAATCACTGATTCCGCCCTCTGTGTCATCTAACCTATTGTTTATTCCTTCCAGTGCATTATTTATTTCAGAAAGTGCTTTGTTTATTTCTGACTGGTCCTTTTTTATGGTTTCTGTGTCCTTTTTTCATGCAGTTGAGTATCCTTATAATCATTAGTCTAAACTCTCTGATATCTTTCTTGCCTCAATTTCATCTAGTTCTTCTGGAAAATAGTTTTCGTCTTTCATTTGGGGTTTGTTTCTTTCTTTTTCCATTTTGGCTGCTTCTTTGTATTTGTTTCTATGTATTAGGTAGGTCTGCAAGACTCTTGTACATGCCTAGGTCAAACCCTGCCTGTGACTAGCCTTGGGAAGCCTGCTTGGTGGTATCAGCAAACCATAGCATGTGTGTGGTTCTTTCTGCTAGGATTGCTGGTGTGCAGAAAGAACCAGCCTGCATGCCAAGACTGGCTCCAAGCAGCACCAAGTCCGGAGAGAGTCAGTTAAAGTCTTGGAGCTCCCAGAGATCCATCTCTTTCTGAAGGCTTTCTCAGTCAGGCTTAAAGAGTAAAAGTCTTCCAGCTGCACTCCTCAGTAGCAGGTCTTAAGCACCATACTGTAGGGCAGAGCAATTCCTGCAGGCGGGGCAATTGCTTCCCCTCAGGCTGATGCCACTTGGTGGGGACTACTTTGCCTAAGAAAGATGGCTCCTGCAATATGGGGAATGACTCAGCATAGGGATCCTGGCAGCTGCTCCTTCAGCTCTCTACTGAGAGCCACCACCCCCAGACTCTCCTCAAGTGTCTCTAGTCAACTCTGCCCTTTCTCTTCTGGAGTCCAGGGTAAGTGACTGTAAACAAAATTTCATGTGTTGACCCTTTAAAAGGCTCTCTGAGTCTCCAGCCATCTCTCTCTGGCAGACAGAAAACCTGCTGCTTTTCACAGCTGGATGTTATCTGGGTTCCTTTCCCATTTCTGGTGCTGTAGGCTGGGGAGCTCAGCTTGGGGTTTAAACCCTATACTACTCAGGAGAAACCCCTTGGCTGCTGAAATATTCCTGTGGGACTTCAGCTGCTGCCCATGGGAGTCTAGACAGCCCTGTTATGCCTCTTTCACACTCCCTACCAGTCCCATTGTGGTGACATGGCTTCTCCTGTATGTCTGTGGTTATAAGGCTCCTCTCTAGCTAGTGTTCAGTTGATTATTTGGGGTGATTTTTCTATACTTTAGTTGTAATTGCAGTTTGGTCCTGGGAGGAGGTTAGTGTAGCTTCCACTTACTCCTCTGCCATCTTGGGTCTCTGAAAGTGAGTTTTTCAAATATTTCAGTAATACATGATCAGTACTATTTTCAGGCCCTGGCCAGTAGTTCAGTTGGTTAGAGCATGTCCCAATATGCCAAGGTTGTGGGTTCAATCCCCAGTTGGGGTCTCTCTTTCTTGCTGTCTGTCCCTCCCTTCCTCTTTCTCTCAAAAAAAAAAACCAATCAATAAAAGACTTTTTTAAGATATTATTTTCAAATTTGAGATAAGGCCACATTTATCTTTATGGTTTGCTTCTAGCCCATTTGGTGGGACATTTTGGAATATTATGTAAACATATAATATAGTTAACAATACAATGTAAAAAAAAGACTTTTTCCCATATGTTGAGAACACTTGAATAATAAAGATGTTAGAAAATGTTGAAATGATTACTTGCGAAACATAGAATGGCTTCAGAATCAAAGAAGAATTAACTTAGAGTCAAGGAATTAAATTTGATCACATTAATTTTTGGTATGCTATTGATCAATATTTGTCAGCCTTAATTTGGCCCTTATTTGGATCTTACTTTGTTAGGCCTTTTGTAAATACCGTATAAAGCTGCACTGTCCAGTGCAGTGTCTGTGAGACACAAGTAGCAATTTTGAAGTGTGGCAAGTCTGGATTGAGCTATAAATGTAAAATAAATTACATGTCAGATTTTGAAAACTTGGTACAAAAAAGAAGAATGTAAACTGATTAGTAATTTTATAATTTTTAAAAAGATTTTAATTTATTTTCATAGAGAGGGAAAGAGAAGGAGAGAGAGAGAGAGACATCAATGTGTGGTTGCCTCTTGCGTGCCCCCTACTGGGGACCTGGCCTGCAAACCCAGGCATGTGCCCTGACTAGGAACTGAACCTGCGACCCTGTGGTTCGCAGTCTGGTGTTTAATCCACTGAGCTACACCAGCCAGGGCTCATTAGTAATTTTAAAATACTGACTGCGTGTTAAAATAATATTTGGTATATGTTGAGTTCGACAAACATTGTTAAACACTTGTGTTTCTCATTCATGGTTCTTGTTATATTTTTATTAGACAGTACAAATGCATACTCTAGAACTGAAGCAGTTATGCCCTTAAAACTTTTAAAGCCTACATACACTAGCTATTTGAGTTTTTACTACCCAGCAAAACAAAAACAATTCTAAGTTTCACTTTTTAAATATGTGACAGCACTATGAAACTATAAATCATACTTTAGCCAGAATTATGAGGCCAGGAGGAGCTCCAAGGGAGGAGGAACTTCATTGGTTTTGGTGGTTGGTTAGCAGCTGTTACATGAGTATTTTTCTGTTCATTTCTTCACAGGAACAAGTTGTTCCCTGAGTCAGTCATCAGGAATATTATGTATCAAATATTGCAAGGGCTGGCATTTATCCATAAACATGGTAGGTTTCTTTGTTTTTCTTTTTATTGTTGTTCAAGTACAGTTGTCTCCATTTTCCCCCCAATACTACCCCTTGCCACACCTATCCCCACCTTCCACCCTCAATGCTATACCCACGTTTGGCTTTGTCTGTGTGTCCTTTATACATGTTCCTTGACGACCCTTCCTCTTTTCTTTCCTCATAATCCCCCTCCTTTAAGCTTCCTTTTCCTGCTTCAGATTATTGTCAAGATCACACACAGGAATTGAACATGTACATAAATAATGTTATGTTTGGATAACTGCAAGTTTGCAGTATGTGACTATACATACTTATATTTTTAAGAATTTAGTATTTTTATCATTTTATATAAAATACAACTTCTATAATCTGTAACTGTCTTCCAGTATGGCAGAAATTTTTAACAGTTTGATCATCAGCCTTTGGTCTTAGTGGTCATAAACCTATCCTGCAACTTCATTCCCTCTGATTTTACCATGGAAATGAGAACAATAAATATATAAGGCCCTTCTTTTGGAAATGATAAGAATACTTTGATTTACCAAGACTAGTTATTATTATTTAAATAGTTTAAATCAACCATATTATAATATTTCATAGTTGCCCTTGGTATTTACATTTAGTTGTTTCTGTTCTTTGAGTAAAATTAAAGCAAGTGATCTCATTTTTATGAATTTCTTATTTATGTAGTCTTTATATAGTTTTTGCATATCAATCAAACCAAAATAATTAGTATTGTAAGTTAGTATGATATTATAAAAACCTTTAGCAAACATTTCTTTAGAGTCACTAGATGTTTAGATATTAAATTAGAAAAGTTTCTACTATACCATTGGTGCATTTTGAACATAGGCATTCAAAAAACACCATCATTAGTCTCCGTTCATGTTTCATCCCATATTTTATACTTCTTTTTCTCTTTTAAGTGCTACAGGAAATAATTTATTTTCTAAAAATACTATGCAGCTCTGACTGCTGTGGCTCAGTTGGAGTGTTGTACTGTAAACTGGAGGTCATGGGTTCAATTTCTGGTCAGCACACCTTCCTAGGTTGTGGGTTTGGTCCCTGGTCAGGGGTTACGTTGTTTCTTTTTCACATCAATGTTTCTCTCCCTTCTCCCATCCTTCCCTTCTCTGTGAAATCAATAAGTAGGTCCTTATGTGAGGATAAAAAAAAATGGTCTGCAGAATTCCACAGAAGCATTGAGAAAATTCCTGAATCCCTAGTTGTTCGTCTTATATAAACTAGTAAGGTCTTTAAAAGTCTAAAACCCTGGGTAATATACTACAACCCATTGGTAAAAGTCATTTATTAATTATAGACATATAAAAAATGTATGCTATTTTCATTGTTTGTGGTAGATGCCTGATCTTCAGCCCCAAATCTAGAATAGGGTGAATATATTATGCCATTGAAACTCTGGTCAGCATGGTACTCTTGATATTTACGAGTTACTTTATGCTAATGAAGCAAGTATGATATGAAAATCAAAAGTCTCAAATTGTTTGATTTTTGGGGGAAGAGCTTTGTGTTTTATTAATAGTTTTCAGGCTAGTAATAAAGTTGTTTTAGTTTCCTTAGATATGTATCGATTATTAGCAACTTCAGAGCACAGGGGATTCAAGGAAATTAGTATGGGATTTATAAATTTCTGCTGAAATTAAATAACATGAGTAATCTAGAATTACATAATTGACCACACAGTGATTTGGGAAACTGGACTTTAACAACAATAGGCATTTTTACAAAACTTTATTTCTCTGTAGTTGATAAATACCACATATGTAATATTTTGAGAAAATATTTTTTAAATAGTGGCTGTCAAAAAAACAAGACCAATATTTTAGTTAAAATAGGACCAAATCTCCAATATATTTATATTAGTGAGGATAGGGAAAGTCTAAACTTCACATATATGTAATTGGTTCAATTCTAAGATTTTATGGATTAATGTCACTTTGCCATCATGTGTTCGCATTCCTGTCTTCTTATAAAAGTGCAACAGATTTCTCTTGGAAATTAGTGAAATGGCTCCTAACAGCTATTTTGAGTAAGAAGTACCAGATAAACTGAATTCAGAACTCAGTTATAGATGTCACAAATGTAGAACCCACACTGGCTTTGAAAGACTTAAGATTGAGTTTAGGATGAGACAGTCTTCCTAGCCCAAAGCTGCATGAAAATCCTCTCATGATGAATATTACAGCCAGTGACCTGGCTTGTTCTTTATCCTCCCACCTTGCAGGGTCATTAGAATACAGGCCATCTGTGTACAAGAAGTGTGCTTTAGATCTCTCATGGAAATTTACAAGGAGGGCTTTTGTGGTTTTTCTTCTGCCTGGGTTTTCTGCCTCATTTTCATTGGGCTGCCTTTTAGATTCCATAACTAACCACTTATTTTATATATTGGTTGGTAAATAAGCATTATAGTTACTGGGTTTTTCAGTAAAGCAGCTACCAAGGAAGAACTGAACTGTTAAATAAAAGAATTTTAAATAAATTGGTTAAAATGGGTGGAGATCTCTTTTTGTTTAATAGGTTTTTCAAGTAAGTGATTATACTCAAGGAATCTCATGTGAAATGTAATAGCGCCACATAGTAAGACCAGCTGTGTTGACTTAAGCCTGATTATGCAGCCCTACTCACGCTTTCATTGACCTAGTTCTCTCTGAACCTCAACCTCCTTGTCTCTTACACAACAGTGACCATAATACCTCTTTAAGGCTGTTCTGCAAATTAATGAGATTGTCATAATGTGGCAGTATCCAACCCACTGCCTGAACTTACTGGATTAACAGATACATGTTGTTTTATGTATTTTTTGATCCTCACCTGAGGATTTGTTTGTTGATTTTAGAGAGAGAGGAAAGGAGGGGGGAGGGAGGGAGAGAAAGAGAAAGAAACATCGATATGAGAGAGAAACATTGATCGATTGGATGCCTCCTACACACACCTGGCCCCAAGATGGAATGGCACTCTTTTGGTGTGTGGAACAACACTCCAGTCAATGGGCCTCACCAGCCAGAGTGAAGGAATACATGTTATTTTTAATGACCTTACATGCCTTGTGATCTTTCTTGCTAAATTACTTTGAAAGGAGTATCTCCACCTCCAGTCACTTTTTATACACTAAACATGGTTTCTTTTTTCCCCTTAGTTCACATTCCTAATTATAACAGAGAGGCTCAGTTCTATTTTGTTTATGTCACATATATTTAAACATGATAGTTGATGGTTGTTTTTCCTTTTTATATTCCTAGGTTTTTTTCATAGGGATATGAAACCAGAAAACTTGCTTTGTATGGGTCCAGAACTTGTGAAAATTGCTGATTTTGGTCTTGCAAGGGAATTAAGGTCACAACCACCATACACTGATTATGTGTCAACCCGATGGTGAGTGTTATGCAGCTCTCCAGAGGCATATGCTTATGCTGAAGTTTTCCTCTAGTGAATTGTCAAATATCATTCTGGGTGTTCCATATGTAGTATTTAAAGCAAAATGTAGAAGTGACTTTGTATTCTTTGGAGAGAAAGGATCAGTTGAGACTATACTAATTTATGAATAAGAGGAGGAAAAAAGATTTTTTATTCATTCAACAAATATTTATTGAACACCTACTATGTGCCAGATATTAACTTCGGCACTGGGAACAGAGAAGTGAACTAAACAAAAAGAACACTGCCTCATATACAAATAACCAAGTTGCAAATATGAGTTACCAACAGAAGGATATCATACATGTTCATCAAAAAACATATACTAGTCCCAAACTGCAAACTACCCAAATGTCCACCAAGTGGTGTGATATATTCACCCAGTGAAATGCTTTACAGCAATGAAAATGGAAGGCCTGTAATTACATGCAACAGTATGGATGAGTCTTACAGATATAATGTTGAGAGCAAGAGACCAAACAAAAAAGAATACATACTGTATGATCCCATTGATATTAAATGCAAAAGTAGAGAAAACTAATTTATGTTGTTAAAAGTCAAAATAGCAGTTACATGGCAGAGGGGAGGGGTAGCAACTGGAAGAGTTCAGGAGAGGGGACTTCGGGATGCTGGTAATATGCAGTTTCTTGATCTGGGTGCTGGGTCCATGGGTGTGTTTTGTTTGTGAAAAGTCATCAGGCTAGCACTCTTATGATACATACATTTTTCTGTATGTATATATACTCCAGTAAAGATAAGAATATTTGTGTATCAGACAGAGAAAAATAAAATATGAAAAGGCACAGGGAGTTGGGGGAGATAAGGGAAGAAAAAAAGAATGTTGCTATTATAAATAGAAGGTTTTGCTAAGAAGAGCCTGGGAGGACATGCCAGGGTAAGCAGGAGCTTTTCTGGGAGAGAAAATGCTGAGGGTAAAGACCTTGACACAGGAGTGCCACATGTGGACTCTGCGGAGCCCAGAATGAATAAGGAGGGCAGTAGTAGGAAATGAGGTCTGAGTGTTTAGGGGTGGCCAGATCTCCTAGCTCATTGAAGGACTATAGTGACTTTTTAATCTGAGGGACTAGGGAGCCCTTGGAGAATTTTGACATGATCTGACATGTTTTAAAACTCTGACTGATGTATTGAAAATAGAATTTAGAGGAGCAAGGGCAGAAGCAGGGAGGCCAGGTAGGAAGCTATTGTAATAATTCGGGCAGGAAATGGTAGTGACTTGAATCTGGTGGCTGTGGAGATGGTGAAAGGTGTACGATGTTGGCTATGTTTTTAAAGTAGAGCAAACATGAGTTCCTGGTAAATCAGGTGTTGGGTTATAATATATAAGGGAGTCAAGACTCCACCTTTTTCCCCTCAGCAACTGGAAGGATGGAGTGAGCACTAATTGAGATAGGGAATTCTAGGGAGTTCTTGCTCAGGGGGTTGGGGCAGGGGAAGCACAATTTGGTTTTAGGTTGAGGTGAATGTTTATGTAAGGGGAGATGTCAAAGTAGACAGCTGGATTTATGATACAGAGTTCAGGGGAGAGGGCTGGGCTGAAGATGTGAAGTAGAAAACATTAGTGTTAAAAATTGTAAGATTAAATGAAGTCACTAAGTGAGCAAGTGTAGTTAGAGAACAGAAGCAATCTGAAAACTGAGCTAGATAATGTAATCATAGGCCCCCATTTGCCCAGGACGGTTTCAGCCAATGCCTGTTTTGTTTCTTTTCATTAAAGTTATTGGGATGACATTGGTTTAATATGATTATAAGCATACATTTCTTGGATATATGATCTATATATTATTGCACTATGTGCCCACCACCAAAAGTCAAATCTTCTGTCACCATATGTTTGACCCCCTTTACCCTTTTCAACCCACCCCTGCTTCCCTCTGTTGTCTGTGTCTATGAGTTTTTGTTTTTCTTGTTTGTATCCCCCATATGAGTGAAAGCATATATTATTAACTTTTCCTGTCTGACCTATTTGGCTTAGCATGATATTCTTAAGGTCCATCCATGTTGTTGCAAATGGCAGTATTTCATCTTTTCCTTATGGTTGAGTAATATTCCATTGTATATATATATACTACATCTTTATTCAGTCATCTATGGAAGGACATTTTAGTTGTTTTAATGTCTTGGCCACTGTGAGTAATGCCTCAGTACATAGGAGTGCATATCTCTTTGCGAATAAATATTTTCAAATTTTTTAGGTAGATACCTAGAAAAGGGTTGCTGGATCATATGGTTGCTCTGTTCTTGATTTTTTGAGGAATCTCCATCTTTTTTTCTTCCCACAGTGGCTATACCAGTTTACATTCCCTCTAGCAGTGAATGAGGGTTCCTTTTTTCCTACACAGCCTCTCCAACACTATTATACTTGCCTTGTTGACAACAGCCATTCTAATAGGTGTGAAGTGGTATCTCATTGTGGTATTGATTGGCATTGCCCTAATAGCCAGTGAAGTTGAGGATCTTTTTATATATTCATTGGCCATTTGTATGTTTTTTTGGTAGAAGTGTCTATTCAGGTCCTTTATTCATTTTTTAATTGGATTGTTTGTTCATTTGATGTTGAGTTATATGAGTTCTCGCTATATTTTGGGCATTAATCCCTTGACAGAGCTGTTGTCTGCAAATATCTCCTCCCATTCATTTGGTTGCATTTATGTTTTGTTGGTTTCTTTTGCTGTGCAGAAGCTTTTTAGTTTGATATAGTCCCATTCACTTACTTTTGCTTTTACTTCCCTTGCCTTTGGGGTCAAATTCTTTATATAGAAAACTCTAAAGACTCCACCAAAAGAAACTATTAAAAATAGTAAATACAGTAAAGTTGCAGGATACAAAATCAATATACAAAATCCACAGCATTCCCATGTACTAACAATGAAATTTCAGAAAAAAAATGAAAAACACAATTCTTTATGCAGTTGCAACCAAAAGAGTAAATATCTAGGAATAAACTTAAAGGATATGAAGGACCTATACCTTACAATGCATTATTAAAAGAAATTTTAAAATAATACAGTTAAATGGAAAGATACTCTGTGTTTGTGGTTTGAATAGAATCAACATAAAATGACCATATTACCCAAAGCAATATACAGATTTAATACAATCCCCATCAAAATCCCAGTGATTTTTTTTAAAGGAATAGAACAAAACGGTAGAGCTTGTTAGGAACATGTAGAAAGGACATATGGGCAAAAAAAAAAAAAAAAAGAATGAAAGATCATAAGATTTGTATGGAACTACAGAAGACCCCGAGTAGCCAAAGCAATCCTAGAAAAAAGAACAAAGCCAGAGGTATCACACTCCCTGACTTCAATAGTTATGATAATCAAAACAACATGGTATTGGCAGAAAAACATACACACACAGGCCAATGCAACAGAATTGAGAGCATAGAAATAAACCCATATTTAGATGGGCAAATAATTCAACAAAGGCACCAAAAACATAAAATGGAGGAAAGAAAGCCTCAATAGATAGTGCTAGGAAAAATGGAAAAGCTACATGCAAAAGAATGAAATGAGACTGATGTTTGTGCCAATATATAAAAGTTAACTCAAAATGGATCAAAGGCCTAAAAATAAGATCTGAAACAATAAATTACATACAAGAAAATAGATACTAAACTTAGGGACCTTGGTCCTAAGAGCCACTGCCTATTATCAGCAGTTTCATTTAAATGAGCTAGGACAGGTCTGAGAGACCTCCACTGTATGCTTCCTGCTCCCTCTGTGGTCTTACATGGTAATGTGAGAGATGTGTGAAAGTGAATGATGAACCAAGTACACACCTTAACATGACTAATTTAGAGATTTCCTGTCTATTTAAACATTTCCTGAAGCAATATAAACAAATGTGCTTAGATAGAAGTGATCTTCAGCCAACTGGTTCACTGAGGGTGCGAACAGGAGTAGTCTTGATACTGTTTGCCCATCCACGCACATGGCATACAAGCCTCTTGTGCCATGGTCTTTGCCATAACCTTTGAGATGGCTGTGGGTAAGATCGTGGGAAACATAGGAAGTTATAGGTTAGGTGTACAGGAAGTATATGTGGGAAATAAACCCACAGCAGGGTACTTGTAGGGCATAGAGAAAGTGGCCTAAATATTTATTTTAAAGTGATTATTACATAGTATGAGGATATAACTATTTTGCTGTTTGGTGCTATGGATTGACTTATATCTCAAAAATAGATAGGTTGAATACCTAGCCCTTGATACCTGCGCCTGTGACTTGATTTGGAAACACTGCATTTTGCCATGTATAATGTGCATACATGTTTTTGTCCCACACTTTCAGGAAAAAAATCATTCATTTTAATTTCTTAATTCAATTATTTATTTATAGTTAGAAATTTGTTTTTTTTATTATAAAGGAATTTTAGCATTTATTTTTTATTTAATTTTTTTTTTTTAAATCTGGGTGGGTTTTCCAAAGTAGTTTCTTTTTTTTTTTTTTTAAAGATTTTATTTATTTATTTTTAGAGAGGGAAGGGAGGGAGAGAGAGAGAGAGAGAGAGAGAGAGAGAGAAACATCAATGTGCGGTTGCTGGGGGTTCTGACCTGCAACCCAGGGATGTACCCTGGCTGGGAATCGAACCTGGGACACTTTGGTTCCCAGCCCGCGCTCAATCCACTGAGCTATGCCAGCCAGGGCAAGCATTTATTTTTAAAAAATATATTTTGTTGATTATGCTATTATAGTTCCATTTTTTCCCCTTCATTCACCTCGACCTGTACTCCTTTCCCACCCACACTCCCCTGCCACCTTAGTTCATGTCCATGGGTTGTACGTATAAGTTCTTTGGCTTCTCTATTTCCTGTGCTATTCTTAACCTCTCCCTGTGTATTTTGTACCTACCATTTATGCTTCCTATTCCCTGTACCTTTTCCCTCATTCTCCCACCTCCCCTGTCACTTCTGCTCTGATAACCCTCCATATGAT